GTGGTGCCTCTGGCTGCAGCCGGGGAAAAGCGGTGAGCAGCGGGCACAGGTTTCCTTCAGATTGCTCTTCTTTTCATCTGCAGCTAAGGTGTAAGATCAGCATAAACGTAAAAAATGCCTCTGGCTCTATGTGTGGATTCAAGTTAGGGGATCCCCGACTGAGCTATCTGGGACACTTTAATCCTAGCACGGTAAAAATGCAGTGTAGGAGAGGGTTACAGCCGCGGAGGTCACAATATCGTTATATTTTAAAAAGGGGCAGGGGGGAAGGAGAGGATTGATGTCGAGCTCTGTGAGGGGAGAGGATTTGCCCACAGTCCTGCAGAAAGCGTGGATGAAACTGGATGCAGAAGGAAGCGCTTCTGCTCTCCGGCCTCATGCACTACACTGCAGAGCATGCTGTTCCTGAAGACCATCTTTCATCACGCTGTCCTGAAAGGAACTGCCAGTCAGACATCCAGTGGTAGCAGTATCGGCGGCCAAAACCCTTGCATGTTCTTAAGTTTGCTAGGGTACATTTCTGAATCTACCTCTAGCACACAATGCTCGGTAACATATTATTATCGTCATTTAAGTATGTACATATTTCTCCTCCCCACAGGCGCTTTGAGGCAGGAACTTATCTCTTGCGATGTGTTCATGCAGGGCTTAGCACAGGGGAGAGCAGATCAAGGCTGGAACCTCCAGGTGCTATCATTTACAAATAAGTAACAGTAATATAGCATGGGATATACTTCCAAGACCCCACCATGTGCACCGAAGAAATCTTTGAGTGCTGCAATCCTGACATAAGTTCCTGGACATAACTTCCTCTCACACATGCATAGTTAGCTTTGCTAGCCCCATCATCCATGTCTCGCAGGGTTGTCGTATTCAGCCCATTGCTCAGGAGAATCCCACAGCACGTGGTTGCTCTGTAGCCGTGTGTTGTAGCCTTCTGTTCAGACCATGATAACTATGTTGTGTTGTGTCATCCATGCAGGAACGTTGATACGTGTGTCACCCTGGTGGTTCACATCTTCCTTTGCACCACGTTTTTGCTTTGCATGTAGCTATCTGCTATATTAGCTTAATTTTCTCAGTTTTTGGATGATGCAAAGTAATGAAGTAAACTAAACTCACTTTTCTTGCTTGATTTGTCCTCCAGATCTAATTGACGTTACACAGACAATGCTCCTAAAGACTGTATGATAATTCCTGGTGGCCGAAAAAGGAGGCACATTGGGGCCCGTACCGAAGAGGAACGAGAACAGGAGGGCAAGAGCTTCCTACTGCCCCTCTGGCAGAGGTACCAAGTGCACAGCGTATCTGCAACGCGAGCAAAGTACTGGTTTTCAGAAAGCGAGTGAGACCAAGAGCTGCCCTGAGGCACTTGGAGCACGGGAGGAAGAGGAGCAGCGCCAGCATGGATAAGGACAGCACAAACCTGGCTGACCAGCAGTATGAATGTGTGGCTGAGATTGGGGAAGGAGCCTACGGGAAAGTGTTCAAAGCCCGAGACTTGAAGAACGGAGGTCGCTTTGTTGCGCTGAAGCGGGTACGGGTGCAGACCAGTGAGGAGGGCATGCCGCTGTCCACCATCCGAGAGGTGGCAGTTTTGAGGCACCTGGAGACGTTCGAGCACCCCAACGTGGTCAGGTGAGGAAGTGGGGCAGGCGTCCCGATCAGCGGGGTCCTGGTTTTAGTACATGAATTGGGCAAGCAAGTTTGGGTACATAAATGGACTGGACGCTAGTTCGGGGTTGTGGATGAAGTGAGCACTAAACTGTGTACATGAAGTGTGGTTTGAGGTTTCAGCAGGCCATGGTGCTGCCTGCCAGACCTCACCTCATCCCTGTGCGTTGCCTCCCACACACACAAACACCCATCTCCAGAGGCATAGGTGTGTGACTTAAGTGTTTGAGTGGATGGGCAAGGAGCCATATATACACTATTTCCTCAGGCATATGAGAGAATGAAAAAAACCCAACATCTCCCTGGTTTTGTCTCAGGTATTAGTTCTGCCAGCTGCAGCTGATTTTTAGCAGCTCTATTCATTATCGAAATGGCAAAGATTATGAGAGTGGTAGTGGAATGCGCGTTCTACCTTTTTAGATGCTTTTATAGAGAGTTGTAGATTATCGTGTTAAAGAGAAGCAACAGCTTAAGACTTCAAGCTTTGCAGGCGGCCTTATGGTTGAATACTGTTTGATCCTTCTGTTTTAGGGTCTGAGATGGGGGGGTTTATAGTAGGTGCAAGAGGAAAGGTGAGACAGAGAATAATATTTAAATATTATTTAATTTAATATTAAATTTATTATTTAATTTAATTATTTAAATATTTAAAATACAAAAGTGAAGAGCTAGAGATAAATTAATTTTTGTTCATCTCAAGGCAGCATAATACAACAGTCCCATTTCTGTCTAAACTGAATAGGCAAAGTATTTGTATTCTGAAATACTGATAACGGAGTGCGCGTCATCGGTCTCACACTTTTCCATTGCTAATCAAGCAAATCCACAATTTGGTTAATAACCATTGTTTTGACTGGCACCTAGTATAATGCCAGAGGCTTAGTCAATAAATTTCAAAAGTGGGGGCATCTTTGTGTGGACAACGTGTCGTATTTGATCACCAAATCAAGTGGCTTGGTTTACAGAGGAGCGCACACAAAGTTCTTCCTTGGCAGTAGAGATAATTGACAGTTCTCAAAATCTCTGAAATCGAGCCCAATAATTTATGAGAGTAAATGAGGATTTAGTTGTCCAGGTTTAGACATTTACATATTTGAAAATTGTAAACCTTGTTTGGGAATAATTCAACACAGCAATATTTACGAATTTTCTGCAATTGAGATCTTTCCATATGAAGTAAAAGGTTTTTTTAAGGGCTTTCTAATCCTGAATTCAGCAAAATCATGAAAAATAAAATTCTTGTTTTCCAAAGAGCTATTTGATGAACTGACCATGCAGCTGCAGGCTCGTTTTGCTTGGGTTTAAGTGCAGTGCAATCTCGACATAGCATTTGCATAAATATATTGAAGCTTAAAATATTTTTACAAGTTTGAATGAAAATTCATTCTCTGCAAGCAGTAAGTATTTCAACCAGCAATATGAGAATGTAGTTTCAATATAAAAATCTCTGAAAGTGCGTTCCAGGTCCTTATAGTGGTGTTGTGAAGCCTGTATCCTTTACCATAAGCAGCATTTCAGATGCAAGGGGTTGGGCTGTGATGTATCAGGATGCTTGGGACCTCGGCTGCACACCTTTTTCCACAAACAGGCAGGGGAATATAAGAAGCAATTTCAAACATTATCTCTTCTAAAATGGGAGGAATGCTATTTAAAAACTCACCTCTGTTGTGCATGCTTTTAATCTGTAGAGCAGATGAAGCTGTAAGTAGCACTTTGGAGTGACTGAAATCATACCCTTATAATGAAAGATTATTTGAAAATATTTACATGCCCCAGTTCCGTTACAAAATAAGGTAGAAGAATTTGTAATTTATTGAAATTAAAGGTCTATTTTTGTATTATGTAAATATACTCAGAAAAGGAAATACTGTAAAAGAAGGTCTGCACTTTTAAGCAGCTGGCCTAGCTGTACTTAATTATTGAACATATTATGCTCACAAAAATGTTCATTGTTTGGGCATGCATTCTGGAAACTGGTATCATGGCCAGGCTAGTAAATAAAAATAATGGTAAATGCATTGTCTACATACTGGATTAAAGTGTACATCATTTTCAGAGCACTGGGATAACAACACAAACAGTCGAAATCAAATTTTTTTTATTTTGAGGGGACGTCTAGCCTTTTTCTGAATATTACAGGCAACTAGCCTCAGAGAAATAAGTGAGAACTGCAAATATAATGTTGAATCTGTTACCTCTGAGTAATGGCATGTGTGATCCATGAGTCGCTCAATGCAAACCGACAGTCATTCTGTGAGTCAAAATTTAGACAGACTTCAAGCAGATGAGCCGCATGTGCCCTGTGCTTGGCGGTGGTACTCTGGCATCAGCTGACGGCAATGGCAGAAATCACAGGCCACATCTCATCACGCTGAACTCAAATGGTAGGTCTGGGCATCTCCAGAGAGTACAGTAAGGAGCTCAGCAGTCCAGGGCTTCTCTGTCTCCATGAAGTGGTGCTGAACGTGAAGAACAGTTTGGTAAGGAAAAGCCCCTGTACTTGCTAGGCAGAGGTGGAGCTCCATGGCGTTGTTGGTCACAGAGCCATGATGCAGGACCAGCATTGCTGCTGCAGCCCAGGTTTGTCATAGCAGTCGTAGATTCCCTTCCTCTAAAATCCTGAGAAATGCTTAGAGCCAAAACTGGTTTCCAGTGCTTGGCATTGGGGATGGAAGAGAATTTTCTCCATAAAGCAGAAATGTCTAAATAGCATAGAATAATTTTAAACAAAATATTTATCAAATTTTTCCATGCTACTGCTTGCTAATTATGAGAGCTTTGTTTCGCGTTCCTTCTCTCCAAGTTTATTGTTTCCATATTCCTACAATGAAGAGATGCATTTTTCGCAGCACAGTTGCTTTTACAATGATAGATAATGAAGCTAGATAAGACTTCACTGCAGAATAAAGCAAAATGAGGTGCAAGATAAGAAGTGAAGAGAAGTCTAATCTTCATCAGAAAAGTGATGGTAGTGGAACTCTCTGGACTATTGACTACAATGGAAATAAGGCCTGGAGGACTGATCTAAAATTTTGTAAGACTGTCAAAAATAGTATACAGAAAGGCAGGGGAAAATTACAGTTAAAAGGATGATTGCTATGTGCTTGAAATCCTCTCCTGTTCACATTTGCCCTTGTATAGAGTTCCCCTCCGTCAGGACACTTTACTCTATTCTATTTATCTTCACAAAACAAAGTAAAAAATAGAATCTTCAAGAGTAAATCTTACTGTGAATTGCTCTAAAATGGGGTATGTTGTAGGCTTTGAAATGTCCTTTGTGACTGGTGGGATGATTAAGGCGCTTCTCTAGTTCACCTTTCAGATAGTAAGTTGTTACGCTTTACTAAAGCTTTTCTATATACAGTAGTCAAATCTGGCAAAAGTTGGTCCAGCACTTATGTAGCTTAGTGCTGTTCTGTTTGGGAAAAATGAAATATATGTAGACAAAGGACAGACTTTGCCAGGAATAAATGACATATTAGATTCAGGAAATTCCTGCGTGTAAAACTGGGAGTATTCCCTGCTGCAATATATCTGTAAAAATCCTTCTTGTGATTATAATGCTAAATTCAGCAATATACTGTGTTCATTTTATCTCTCTTCTGCTGGTAATCAGATGAATAATTTTCCCCTAATGTTAATCATCCATCAGACTGTGAATTTGCACTCTGGGAAGGTGATATACGAGGCAGAATACTGTAATTCTTGCCGTGCTTGTTTTCTAACATACATATATATTTAACAGTTTTAATAGTGTTCAACCTTATGCAAATAGAGCAAACCTGCAAAGGTGTGGATTTTTGCTTCCTGGCTCATAGTTTTTTTGATAAATACAACTTTTTTAGTATTTTCATGGGTTGGTAAGTCTTCAGTTTTAAGATAACCAAAATTATATTGAATATAATCTATTAGAATATAATCTAATCTGGGTTATTATTTCAAAGATAAGTGTCAGGAATCTTGCCATTCAAGGACGTCATTACCATATAATAAGGAGTTAAAAATCTTAGTTCTCTCCTTCCTGTCAACTTGTGGAGTAGGTGCCCCAGCTAGTTGACTTAGGTTCAACAGAATGATCCACCGAGCTGGAATTGTAACTCTATTCCTCAGTCTTTTTGGTACATGGATCAGCGTGGGGGAAAGCCAGTAATTATGAGTATTTGCACAACTATGCCATGTTCAAGGTTTTATGTTATTTTATATCCACTGAAATAAAAATGACACTGTAAACTGCCCTCTGTGGTACAGCAACACTGTCATGTTGCTTTTTCCCTGCTTTTGCAGTCCAGTGGTCCGTGCTGTTATCTCTTGGTTTGCACTTGAGTACTTGACGGAGCCCATCAACTGATTCCCTTGGCAAGGCAAGCTGAGTGGGGGGGGAAGACGCTGGGGCGCGCTTGACTCCCCCATCCCCATGTGCCCTGACATAAAGACCAGCACTTGACTCTGCTCAAAGGTCCCAGAAATGTATAGTGGCTTGGTGCTTAAAATTGCGTTATAGTAAGATAGATGTTGTCTTTTTAGAAGTGTCTTAAAATTCCCTGTTTAACCTGATAGAGAGAGCATTCAGAACATATCTGTAGCAGCTCATCAATACCTAGCTAACCTTTTGCAAGGCAATTTGAACTTGTAGTTGTTTTGCTTTGTTCTGTTTGTTAAACTGAAACGATATGGGAACATACAGAGGGAAAAGAATTTCAAAATGCAGTAGCTAATTTTGTTTCTCTTTCCAGTTTGTGGTGACGCTGATATTGGCTGCTGGCTTTATTACTGTACCGTTAGTAAGTTTAAAGGATGATCTTCTCAAAATCATTGAGATGTTCCATCCCGTCAAGTGAAACATTTCTGTTCTAGGGGGTGTTTGTCTCCAGTGAATTCTGCTTACTTCCTTACTTCCTTTTTCCGCCAAGCTAATGTTGAACTTCGAGTGTGTGACATCATTCTTACAGGTCAGCAGTGTGCTG